ATGAAATTATTAATTTTATTATTATTATTTCTACTTCAAATTGAAAGTTTTAATTTTTTCTTTTCTAGGAATCGCATAGAAAATGTTACCAGAAGGCCACTTGGAGTATTATTTGAAAACAATAATACATTGAAATCAAAAATTTCCACACCATCCATTAATAATTCTAAGAATGGAGCTATTGTGTCCGAAACTTTAGTAAATCAGATTATTGAAAATAGCAAGAAATCCGAAATAATTCTAGGGGTAAATGAAATAACCGTCACTTTGAAAGATTGTTGCAAAAAATTATTTAAAAAAAAATAGTTTGTGAAGACGTTTTGAAAACATCTGTCAGAACAAAAGAAATAAATTCTGAGTGGAAAAAGGAAAGGAAGTACAGAATCACCGGCAGTAGGTAATTTTTAGAGAAAAACATGCACGTTTTAATAAAAATTAAAAATTAAAAATTAATAACATACAATATGCTTAAAAATTACAGGTGTTATAGCTTGTACACCTACAAAAAAGACAATTGGCCGGACAAAAGTCTTAAATACTTTTGGCCACAAGCATTTTCAAATAAGTACACCAAACATGGCAACAAATTTGAAAGCATCGCAAGGGACGTGTATAAAACTGAAACACAATCGCATGTTGAAGAATGTGGATTAATAATATCAGAAAGTGAACCATGGGCAGCATACTCTCCAGATGGGATTGTTTGTAAAAATTCTACTTTCAAGCTATTGGAAATAAAATGTCCTTATGAACTTCAGGATACAAGTGAAAAATCACTAATTAAAAAGTGCAAGTTTTTATGCTTGAAAAACGAAGAATTACGACTTAAAGAGAAGCACCAGTATTATGGTCAAATTCAGTTTGGAATGGCTCTATTGAATTTAAAAAGTTGTGATTTTGTAATTTATTCTAACGTTTCCAACTCAATAAGAATTTTAAACGTTAAATTTAATGTTAATTTTGCACGAGATTTATTTGAGAGTTTGAAAAGAAGATATTTCGATAAGATGTTGCACGAGATTTGTTGCAATTCACGAAACAATAAGTAAAGAAATGTGTTCCACAGTGCTCCAAAGATATCCAAAGGAAGTATTATTAATTATTAGTACAAAATGTTGATATATCAAGATGTTCAAAAGAAGTATTAATATACTATATTAATATTAGATTATAAAATACATATTTTATTTTATTTATACATTCATAATGTGTTCCAATGTGCTCCAAAAATATCCAAAAGAGGGATAAATAATTTTAAGTGTTGATAAATCAAAAATATTTTTTAAATGATAGGGGAGAGTCTCCAGTTGTGAGACGGGTTTTATTTTTGACCCGTAAATTGTAAACGGGTTAACGAAATTGTAAATAAAATACACCGTTCGAAAGGTAACAGAAATACGCAACTTTTATTAAAAGAAAGTATAGTGTTTCGATGAAGTCAAAAAATTTTACGATACATTTTCCGAGCACAGCGCTTTTTTCAAAAAAAAAAATGTCTCCAGTTGTGAGACACTCATTAAAAATTGCTAAAATTTAATAAGTTTGACATAAAACGTTATGTTTAGTAGAAATAATTAAATATATTAATAATATATATTATTATATACTAAATAATAATATTTATTCGCCAAAATATGACTATCAAATAAACACAATTTAATAGCTTCAACAAGAGCATTAAAATTGATTTCTTCTGAATCAATTGACTTTTTTCCACTTGACATGCCCAAAAATACTAGAAAACAAAATAAAACAACATTTAAATAGTATGCCTGCAAAGTCGTATTTTTTATGCTGCCCAGATGGGTGTTGACACCGTCTCACAACTGGTGATATGCTGTGTCTCACACCCAGAAATTGGCGCTATTTTGAAAAAGGAAAATTAAATTATTTTCAACCGTAGATTGGAACAATGCAATATTGCATCACAAAATATAAGGAAAACACTAAAAGAAAATGCATTACATTTACCTTTTCCAATTAATTAACTTGGAAAAAAAGTACTTTGCATTTATTGAAAAAACGCTTTTTAGTCGATTATCACACTCAGTGTTGGTATTTAACAAAAACAGTTTATATATTCGCTTCGGCGTACACGAAAAAGTTGGCTCATATAAAAAGAAATGTTTTTATATAAACCAATCGGCTTTTTAATATTGCATGTTAAAAAAAATTTACTGTCTCACAACTGGAGACTCTCCCCTATCTAAAGGAATTATTACATCTAAATATATAAGTCTTGTATTTTTTTATATATTTCTGTTTCATGTAGAACGTTAAAGTATGAAAATAAAATTGTCGAAAATGTTTGTAAATCCATTTATTGTAACTTTTATTTTCATTTTAGACACGAAGAAATTACAATACAGTTTCTATGTTACATATATCAATAAAAAAATTCAAATTTATCATCTGCTAAAATAGGAGTACCTAAATTTGCCAATCCACAACAAATTAAAAAAATGTCATCAATGTAGTTAATAAAATACCAAGGGATTCTATTCCTCATAATCTAAAAAATTTTAATTCGTTGGTTCATTCTTTCAATGTGAACTCTAGCACATGCAATTTTGCGGTTATCTAATGCTTCTTCTTTTGACAATTGTTTTTTTTTCCTAAGAAAAGGAGGCCTAATTAATTTTACTCTTTGCCTTGAACATTCTTTATCTATCAAGAAACCCTTGTCGACCATAATTGCATCTCGTGTACTTTCCAAATTTTGAAGAATATTTCCATGGTTAAAAATGGCTTTATCTGATGCCCGACCTCCAAATGCCTCGCTAACAGAAACAAGGATCCCAGCTGGTGTTACTTCAGTCAAAAATTTTACAGTAAGATCACCTTTATAATGAGAATAAAATCTAACTCTACATTTTAAACATTTTGGCTGTTGTATATTGATTTCAGTACAATCTAAAACCGAAGTTGTATCACGAAAACTGTCGAAACATTTTGGCATATTACGTAAAATTTCATCCTTTGAAACTTTTTTAATAGTTGATTGCAAAATGGTTGAAAGTTTTTTAACAGTATCGTAGAATATGTTTCTGACAGTAACATCGCAGACCTGATTGAATAGAATTGTTAGCGCATTAAATGGAATATCTAGTTTTAATTTTGCTGTGGTTAAAATAATAGAATCACGCGTACTTAGGGAGCGTCGTCGTTTCGCAGGATATATTTCATCCATTAGTTTTGCCAATTCATTTAAAATATTGAAACTTTTTATCCCACACATGGTTATCAATTCTTTATCCGTTTTTATAAATGAAGAGAATGACATTATAAAATCCCCACTAGTTATTTGAACACCGATGTCTCGATTTTTAGTTAAGATTTCATTCTCAGCTGCAATATTTTGACTTTCACTATTTATACCCGAAACGTTATCGTTAAAAATCTTAAAAGCTGCATTACATTCTGCTTCACATTCTGCATCATAATACTCCAAATTACTTTCCTCTTCAACACAAATTTCATATTCATTATGCACATTGTCATCACCTCCATCCACATTTATTGTTGAAGCACTAGTTGTTGTTGAAGAACTAGTTTCGCTGTTTTTAGAATTAGTTGTCCTATTGTTTTTAGCAGTGTCAATTTCTCTTGACAAACGTCTCTGATCCTATAATTATTAAAATTATTATAAAGTATTATTTAGAGTTTCATTAATATTAGAGTTTCATATTAAAAATTACGTAAAACTGATATTTTTACTTACCAGTCTATTCTTTCTGTCAACGTTATTATTGACTTTTTTCAAGGATACATTATTTTCAATTGGTACAGCATTTGATTTTAATACCCTATTTACTGCCGGTTGGTCTACAATTAAAATTTAATTTAGCATATTAACTTTTCATAATTTACTGATTACTTGATTTTATAAAATATAACCTCAAAAATTTGATTTTACTCAAGAAAAATTTACTAACAAACAATTTTCTGACTCAAACAAAAAAAATAGTTGACAACAAAAAAAAGGCACTAGCGAAATTTGAGAAATATTAATTAATAAATAATAAACTTACCAGGAAAGCAATAATCGTCAGCAGTGAAGTGCAACGAACATACGAACATGTATTTCTTATTCTTCACACTTTTCAACCTTTTCAGCCATTCCGTATATTTATCTACTTCTTCAAAATTTCCAAATAGGTTTTTTCTTTTTATTTTTGTTTGTCCTTGCTTTGGAAATTTGTGAAAACTTAATTTTGAATCTAAAGACTTTTTAGAACTGCATCCAACAACGCAACAAATTCCATTGCTGACCGACTTACGCACTTTTGGCCCGAATTCCATATTACATTTACAATATATCAGTAATGATAAATTTGATAAAATGGTATATTTTATTGTAAAACACTCATAAACCGTATTTTTTTAATTAGTTTGTAATTTGTGTGTATACATATCACGTCAATGAGCACTACGACGTCGGCCATATTGGATAGTATCCAAAATATCCGATAGGGGCGTTTTGTGAATTTAAATCCTCACTACTTTTTTCATCGAACCTTTTTCTTTTGTGTTTGTATTTCTTTTTTCATTTGTACTACGATTTTTTTCACTCGAACTTTTTATTTTGATTTGTACTAAAATTTCTTATTTTTCATACCACGGTCTTTAAACAATTTTTTCATTTGCATAATAATAATAATGTTTATTTTTTAATTTGTAACTTTTCTTGTTTGTGTTTTTTTATTTGTATTACCTTTTTTTCTTATTAATATTTTTTCTTATTATCAACATCAGTAGATGTTGATTCATTAAAATTTAATTTGTTTCAGTTAAGGTCTGTCAAGCGTGGTACATATATCACAATGGTGGGGATGCAGTGATGGTAGGGATTGCTGAATGAGGTGGCTCACAAGCGAGTGGGACTCATTCTTGTCTCAGCCTTCTAACAGTTCAAATTGTAGTGATAGAATTAATCGTCCTGAATTTTTAATATATAAAATTTCTTATTTTTATTTTGTTCATAAATTGGTATACAGAAAATGAAAGAAAATAATTTTGTACCGGACAGCAAAAATAACTGTATAACCATTTATGACAGTGAATCATCCACTGTCGTTTTAGACAGCAGTAGTGCTGATGAAGATGTTCTTGTCAAAAATAACTGTATAACCATTTATGACAGTGAATCATCTACTGTCATTTTAGACAGCAGTAGTGCTGATGAAGATGTTCTTGTCATAAATATAAGTGACAGTGAGGTAAAATAAAATCATAATTTTCAAGTAATTTAAATTAAAAATATTTGATAAATCAAAGTAAAAATTATTTTATTTTATTTAATTTAAAGAGCATTAAGAAAAAATAACATTTATTATTCGAAATGTTTTTTTTATAGATGACAGATATACTGGAAGATGTTTCAGAAGAATATAATAATGAGAATGACCCATCATTCTCATGTAAGATGATCATATCATCCGAATCATCATCAGACTCATCCGAATCATCATCAGACTCATCCGAATTATCATCCGACTTATCCGAATCATTATCCGACTCATCCGAATCACTATCATCATCATAATCTGAATCATCGTCATTCTCGTCTGAGTCATCACAAAGCTCATCCAAATCATCAAAAAAGAAAAAAACATGTAGATGTTTGTGTCATCGTCGTAACAACAACCGAAAGAGGTCCCTATCACTCACAAAGCGCCGAGTCCGCAGTGTGGTGATAAACAAATATTGACATAAAATTATTACCTAAATAATAATAATATCTCATTTTATTTTCAATATTTTTATTAAATGTGCATATCCTACCAGTCAAATTTGTTTATGTTGTAATTAGGAAGGGGTAAGAGAGAGAGTAGGAACTGGATTATAGAAGTCGGTGCACATAGAAGTATAGCTCATTTCTACTATTTCTTAAAGGAATCATTAAAGTAAGTAAGTATAGATTCCTCTGCAAAATTCTGTTGTTTTTCTTTATTTCCAGACTACAGCGATTTTAGAAATTTCTTTCAGGATTTAAAAAAAAATTTCAGTTACTCTTTTTTTAATTTTGTTTATTTCCAGATTACGTTCTTAAAAAAAAAATTTTAAGGATTTTTTTTCATTTTTATTTTTTTATTTCCAGATTACAACGTTTTTAGGAATTTTTTTTTCATTTTCTTATTTATAATTTCTCTTTATTCCAGACTACAGCGATTTTAGAAATTTCTTTCAGGATTTAAAAAGAAATTTCAGTTACTCTTTTTTTAATTTTGTTTATTTCCAGATTACGTTTTTAAAAAAATTTTTAAGGATTTTTTTTCATATTTATTTTTTTATTTCCAGATTACAACGTTTTTAGGAATTTTTTTTTCATTTTCTTATTTATAATTTCTCTTTATTTCCAGACTACAGCGATTTTAGAAATTTCTTTCAGGATTAAAAAAAAAAAATTTAGTTACTCTTTTTTTAATTTTGTTTATTTCTAGATTACGTTTTTAAAAAAAATTTTAATGATTTTTTTTATTTCATCTTTTTAATTTTCTTTATTACCAGATTTCAACATTTTTAGAAATTTCCTTCAGGTTCTTTATTTAGTTTTTTTTTCTTTTCGTATTTTTTAATTTTTTTTCCAGATTACAACATTTCTAGAAATTTCTTTCAAGGTTTTAAAAGAATAGTTCTCAGCTTTTCTTTCTTCTTTTTCCTTAATTTAAAGTTTCCTCTTTATTTTCAGTCCACTTTATTTTAGTTATTCTCAATCAATTTCCGCTTTTCTTATAAGGTTCTTTAACCCTTTTTTCAAAATTATTTTTTAGCGTGATTAATAGCTTTTTTTCAAATTCGTGTGTTCTCAGCTTTTCTTTCTTCTTTTTCTTAAATTTAAAGTTTCCTCTTTATTTCCAGACCACTTTATTTTATAATTTAATTTAATATTTTTTATTAACATTGACCTTTTGTGAATATATTAAATCTACAGGTTTTTCTTATTTTTGCAGATAACAGAAAAAAAATGGAAAAGACAAATTCCTACACACATTTTGATGCTGATGATGATAGCAACGATGGAGCGGAGAGAATTTTAATTTTTGATAGCGACGATGAATTCGAAAGTGAAGATGATGATGATGAATTTGATAGTGAAGATGATGATGGTGATGAATATTATGATAGTGAAGATGATGATGAATATCATAGTCAAGGCTCAACCATCGATGACAACGATGATGAAAATAACGATGATCTTATTGTCCGTCCAATCATTGTCGTTACACATGTAATTCATTTTATAATAATAATAATAATAATAATAATAATAATAATAATAATAATAATAATAATAATAATAATAATTTTTTTTTTGCGTGGGAAGTGGAAAATCTGCAATAACCTTGGAGGCCTACTTCCAAGTCAGATACCTGGAGCCCGTACTCCTAGGTTATGTGGGGATGACCGCTCTTGTTCTGGCCGACCCACTAAAAACCACTCCCTTTTGAGACATATCTCCCCTGGCGGAACTGCTGTCAAGCTTACATCGCCAGTGGAGGTCTCCTTACCTACTTCCAGATCCAAGTCCTTAACAAGGCGCCAGCTGAAGAGGGAGGAGTTCCAATTAAGGTCTCCCCCGTCCTCCGCGAGCGCCCCGCCGAGCAGCAGGAATTCTCCAGGGTAATCTCGCCCTTCTGTCGTTCTCCTTCCTCCTCATGACTTCGATGACAAAAGTCTCGACTTCTCGCCATGAGTCCGCGCTCTGCAACATAATTGAAACCATATTCTCGACCGTGACTTCAGTGCCCACGGCCGAAAACATGGCTTCCCTAAGTTCACGCCAGTGCCCGCAGGAAAAAAGCGTGTGCTCCGCGTCGTCAGTGTGCTCTGCTTCGTCGTCACCCGAACCGTTACAGTACACACATTTCGCGTCTGCTTTTATTTTAAACCGATAGAAGTACTGTCCGAAACAACCATGACCCGACATCGCTTGTGTAAGGTAGTAGCCTACTTCACCGTGTTGTCTTTCCAACCATGTGGCGAGGTGGGGAATTAGGCGATGAGTCCATCTACCTTTCAATTCCCCATCCCATCTCTCCTGCCAACTCAGAACGAGTCTTTTTCTTGACTCTAAGCGGATTAGAGCTTTGAGTCTTTCTCTACACTCCGGGTTGCCTACTAGATCTTTGGAGAGCTGGAAATTCTCCTGCCTTTCCATCGCCAACAAATCCATTGGCGGTAATCTAGCAAGCACCCGAAGAGCGCAATCAGACACCGTTCTGAAGGCTGACGTTATTCTCCTTGCTGGCTCTCTCTGGGCCGAGAGAAGTCTGTCAGAGATGCTGTGGATCTTAAGGGCTGAAGCCCATACAGGGGCAGCATAAAGCTGCTTTGATTGAACCACAGTCGCCACCAGTCTTCGTTTATTTTCCCTGGGGCCACCGATATTGGGCATCATCCTCGAGAGGTTTCCCATGCATTCGGTGGCTTTGAGTGTTGAGATGTTAATATGTTGGCCAAAACTTAAACGTTTGTCCAACCACACTCCCAGGTACTTAAGCTTATTTCCCCATGCGACTTCAGTTCCTCCCATTTCAATCTTCGGGGCTTCATAAACTCTCCTGTCTGTGACGAGTAGAGCTTCGGTCTTCTCGAGAGCCATTTTCAGACCATGCCGATATAACCAAAATTCAGCTCGCCGCAGACTATCTTCAAGTTTTATTTTTAGCAGTCTCAAATTCTCGTCGTAACATATCAAAAGCACGTCGTCCGCGAACCCGGATATAGACGTATCTTCGGGTAAGTCCAACCTCAGAAAACCGTCATACATAACGTTCCAGATGGTTGGCCCCACCTTTGATCCTTGGGGAGCTCCGCATGTCATTTTCTCTTTGATATGACATGCATCGCTCTCGTAGACAACCCATCTGTCGCTAAGATAGTTGTCTATCATTCGCAACAGATACGTTGGTACCCCTTTACATCTCATTGCTTTCATACAAATATCCCATTTCGCGGAATTGAACGCGTTACGGATATCAATTGAAACGAGCGCGCAAAATCCCTTCTCGAGTCGAGCCTTAGAGAATCCAAGCTGGATGTACTCGTCACCGGGGATTTTAATGCTAAGTCGCCGGAGTGGGGCGAGTCAAGGCTCGATAAAAGAGGCAGAGTGATCGGAGAAATGGTCTCCAGGAGCAATTTAACGATTGTGAACCGGGGAAGGACATGGACGTTTAGGAGGGGTGCAATTGGATCGATCATTGATCTTACGATTGCATCATCTCCTCTATTCAGACGCATTAACGAATGGCGAGTCTCTGAGGAGTATACCGCAAGTGACCACCAGTACATCGAGTTTTCAGTCTCAGTGGGAGACACAGGAAATGGTGGAAGACAGGAAGCACCGTGTCGAAAACGCCTCTCCTGGAATGTGAAGAAAATCGATAAGGAGAAATTTGTCCGATCCCTGGAAGAATCCCGCCTCATTGAGGAATTGGGTTGGGTGCAGAGGCCAAATACCCTGGATGCAGAGGTACGAGCGGTGAGGAAAACCATCACCGCTGCCTGCGATGCATCTATGCCGCGTCGCAGGTGTACCGCTTCACGAAAAAGCTCGGTGCACTGGTGGTCGGATGCTCTGGCCTCCTTGCGGAAAGCGTGCTTCAAAGCTAGAAGGAATTATACCCGTTCTAAGGGAGATCCTTTGCTAAAGGAAGTATTTAAGGAGGCCAAGAAAAGCCTGAAAAAAGAGATTCAAGCGTCACAACGCCGTTGCTGGAAAGACCTAATTGATGATGTCGAGAAGGACCCATGGGGTCTGGCTTTTAAAATCGTTACTAAGAAATTAGGAACGAGGCAAAAGACCCCCGGCCTGGACAATCCCGATTGGGTCAGAAGGATTATAAAAGCTCTATTTCCTCCTGCAGAACCGTGGGTTAGGAAGGACTGGAGTACCTGCGAAGTCGGTGAGGAGGAACTCTTCACTCTTACAGAATTGAGAAATGCAGGTAGAAGATTGAAAACAGGCAAGGCGCCTGGAATCGATGGGATAAGTAACGAGATCCTAAAATTGGTTATCGACACTTCACCCCAGATTCTGCTCCGATGTTTCAATCTTTGCCTTGAGAAAGGAGAGTTCTTCCGCGACTGGAAGCGGCAAAGGCTAGTCCTCCTAAGAAAAGGCGAAAAACCTCTGGATAAAGTCTCGTCGTACAGGCCTATTTGCCTGTTAGATACGATGGGTAAACTTCTAGAGGATATGGTTCTGCAGAGAATGCAAACCCATTTGACCGGAGAGAATAGTCTATCCGATTACCAATTTGGTTTCCGCAAAGGCAGGTCCACGGTTGATGCCATTCAGGCAGTTGTGGACATAGCCAAAGCGGGAAAAAACAAATTGGGACCAAAGAAGAAGAAGGGCTTCTGCGCATTGGTGGCTATTGACATACGTAACGCGTTTAACTCCGCACGATGGAAAGATCTCATCCAGTCGATGATGGAGAAGAGAATACCGCCCTACTTGTTGCGGATAATGAATGATTATCTTAGCGACAGGTGGGTAATCTATGAGGGGGACAACTGGACTCTGAAGGAAGAGAT